AATCTCCGCATCGGAGAGTGGAAGCAGAGTGTGTGTGGGGGGGGGGGAAGGTCACCGGCAGAGAGAGTATTTCTGCTGGGCTCCTTCAATGTCAAAACACTCCCCACGATGGTCTCGAGCCGGAGGCCAAAATCCACTTAGAGGCACAAAAATAATCCCGTCGTTTTGTCGGCGATATTCCTAATCTCGGTTCAGATGTGCGCGGTGGCTGTCAGGGTTTCTGCCGCTGCCTCATCCGGTCCAGAATTCAAATAAACACGAAAAACAACACCGAGGACTCCCACTCGGGCCGAAGTGTCTCCTCACTTTCTCGCACACACTTGTTCGCGCGGAGCAACGTTAGCTCGCCTCGCCGCCATCCCCCCCGGAACCAGCCCGAAACTCCGCGGAGGCTAGCCGAGAAGCGTGCAGCAGCCAACCGCCCGGCTACGCTGAAACGCCGCTCCGCCCGCCGCAGTCATGGGCAGCCACCGAGAATAACCGCTCCACTCACCGGGTTATACATAAACAGCGGTCACAAAACAGCTTACGCCTCACACGGAGGGCAGTCAGCGGAGATTAACCCGAGAGTAGCGGCGTATCGATGTCCCAGTCCTCATCGGCTGTGTTGTTAGCAAGCTAGCTCCAGTTAGCCACTAACGGCTAATAGGTAACTGGACGTCTTTGTGCCAGGCAGCCGTTAGCGAACGTTGCTGTAAAAAATTTTAAAAAATCCGGAGAACTGTTAGAGGAAACAGCCTCCCAGATTAAGTTAAAACACAAACAAACCCGGAAAGAGTTGTTTTATCCGGCGTAGGTAAGATGCCAGTGGGTACAGCGGGAGCTTCAGCCACAGCCGCGCTTCCCTCCCCTGTTGAGCTGAGACAGGCCGGGTCGGCGTGTGGGGGGCTGGGCTCCACTCGAGCTGGAGCACCGCCGCTTTGCGCCTCCGTAGCAGAGGCCACAGGTTACTGCACTGCGCCACCTAGCGGCCGCTACCGGCCATTTCTACACACCAGATAAAGACCTGTTCAAAATGCGATAACCTCGATAAGACAAGAACAACTTACTGAAAGTACCGGACCTCAATGTTCTTGAACAAAATGTCCAATTTTTTGTGGGGGAAGGCAGGAAAATCGTCTTAATTTATTATTAAAATGTTGCTGACTTAAGCAGTGACAATCTGTCTACATGTAAAAATGTTTCGGTACAGAAATCACTGAAGTGTTAAGTTTGTGTTACGTTTTAGATTATATTATACAATTTAAAAACTTGAAATCCACTTTCACTGAAAAAAAAACAGATTACTAGTAGATAATACCACGAATCCCCTCTGCACATCTAACTGTATGATGACTATTACAAACTGTACATGTGTCAGTATGCATGAGATACGAAATGCACCTGGGATTTTTATTTTTTAAATTTACTTTTAATAAATGTATTTTTAAATTTACTGTGCATTGTATGTGGATAAGAAATATATATAATGTACCAAACTTCAAAGTGAAATTAAATAAATTACTATATATTCTTTGTCTGTAGAGAAAAATATTGTAGTGGAAAACACTGGAAACTCGAGTGTATGAACATTTTGATTAACTAGTGTATGTGGATTAGGATCAATAATCGCCTTCAATTTTCAACTTGATAAATGTTCAACATAAATATAATAGTTTCCCTCCTGGCTGATTACAACCACATAAATATTTCAGGACGCTTGGAGGCAAGTGTTTTCATGACCCGTGTTTTCTTTGCATCATTTGCTGCACAACACACTGATATTTGTTTAAATTGCATTAATTATTCAAACAACACTTTTTGTGGACAAACAATAACCTTTTATTGTAGAAACAAGTGTTTACATGTCTTGGCAAGTTCACAGCAGAAAAAGAAGGAGCTAAAGCAGGAAAAACTAAACATTTTACGAGATGGATTACAAAACAAAATTTTTTAAAGTTGCACCAAAAGGGAGTTTTCACAGATCACAAAGCAAAAATCTGACAAATATCTCAATGACCCCTCTCCCCGATGGAGCTTTTAACATTAATATCAACAGTGTTTAAAAAAAAGAAAGATAAAAACATAATTACAAGTTTTGGAGGCCCTCATCTTTAGCTGCAGTGACTATGGCTGAAATGGCTGGGTGACGGGGGGTGGACGCGGGGCCCCATTTCAGACATTTTACGCAGAGAGGTCGCTGCTGTTAAAACGGTCTTGATCGTACACCTCTGCAACCACTTTGCGACCACCGAACCAGCGATCGTTGAGGGCCTGGATGGCTTTGTTCATCTCCGAGGCCATGGAAAACTCTACAAAGATCTTGACTATGATGTCGGCGTCGTCCTCCTCCCCTTGCTTTTCCTGGTAAATGATGACTCTGTTGACCGTGCCGAACTTCCCACACTCCTCCGTCACCTCTCCCTCCAGGTCGTCGTCAATGTCTTCCGGCCCGACCATGTTTCGGAGCACCATCACTGTGGACTAAAGACGGGCAAAGGAACAATTCAGTTGAGTAGAAATTATTCTGAACGGGGGGACAAACATGGAAATGGGAGTTTCGTTGACAGTCCCACAGTCACCTCTGACTTTCGGAGCAGCTTCTGCATCACCATGTGTCTGGCACTGCTGCCCGAGATGCTCATGTGCTCCTGGTCACTCAGCATCTCCTGCCCTGTGCCATCCTGGAGCAGCTCCTCTTTCTCCTCCTTTTTCTCTTGCTGACTGGCGCTACCTACTTGGTTAGACAGGACTGGTGGGGATGCAAGCACTGGGTTCACTAAACCGACTTGGGGAATCACTGGTATGGAAGGACGCACTGGAGTCACACCTTCACAGGAGAGGCAAGCAGGAAGTCAGAGACACAGGCCGGACCAACACTCACTTTTAAAAGATAAAGCAAACTTGATGCATCAAACTACTGCCCGAGTGCACATATTGTACGATTTGATCAAATAAATGCGCAATATTTACACAAATATTAATCGAAGAAATCACCAGAGGAGCTGTGATAAAATAATTCATTATTCTTGTTTATTTAAATCCGAGTCACATAAAATCATCCCGCGTCTTCATCTTTGAGATGTCAAGCTGAACCACCATATAACCGCCCACAGATTTAAACCCTTTAATCGATCTCTGGAGGAGCTTTCAGTCAGTGTAGCAGAGGATGCATTTAGTTCTGTTCAAATGAAATATTTCACGGAGAGTTTCAACCCAAACAAGCTGTAAAGCTGAAAACCAGTACAATGTTCGAAAGTTGGCAAGTTTTGCAAACCACCAAGTCAAAATCTCATAGTCTAAATAGAAGCTATTGGAGACATAATTACTCAGATGATACTGACTCGATGCCACCGTGCCTTCTTTCACTTTCAAACTTAGACAGCATCTTTGGCTCTACCAAAAGAAAACGAGGCACTCAAAAAAACCAAAGATATGGAAGGAGCACTCACTCGTGTGTTGGTACACACCTGTGATGACACCTGGTGCCTGGGCGGCCATTACAGCCTGAGGGATGCCCATTTGCTGACTGAGAAGTTGGGGCGCCGCCAACGCTCCCAAGACTGACGCACCAGCTACAGCCTCCTTAAGAGAGGGGGGGCCGAAGACATTAGGTAAGGGAAACACACAGAACACAGCACAAGGCAGCACAGTCAAAGATCACACAGTGGGGCAAAGAGTGAGCTCAACCTCGCTTTCTCTTCGGGGAGAACTGAGGTTAGTCTGTCAGCAACAACAAATCATGGATTATTTTTAGTGAGTTCATCTTTATTCTTTATTAAGTGAGATCAACTATTATTCGTAAACCCTCGTACCAGATCCACAGCTAACCACTGCCTGTCCACACTGGAGTAACCCTTCTAAAAAAGAAATCCTTATTTGTGCTAAAAGGTTCCTCGCTTATTTGCCCGTAAAGTATTGCGAGGAGACTTAACCACTGGTGACTATGCAGTTCACACAATACCAAAGGAGTCTGTTAGTGTTTTAGACAGGAGCTTAAAACTCAAACCTTTTAACTCTGGATTACTAAACTGACTTGTGGGCAACTACCTCTTTAAAAAAAAAAAAGAAATATATACACGTCTACGAAACTGGCCTTCTCCCAGTCATTTCTAAATAAGATCTACGCTGTGTCAAATCTAGCTAGATCTGGGTTATATTTACCTGGAAGGCCATTAAATCCCTTTGGAAGGGATTCATACTTGCCTGGGCCGTTATCTTAGCGGTGGCTGCCGCTGCAGCCACAGCTGCAGCCGGCGGCAGCCCACCGGGGGTGGTGGGGGTCAGTAAGGGCATGGGCGGAGTCACTGCTTTGCCAACCCGTAGGTACTGACCCCCCAGGTCAAAGAGGTTCATAGAAGACACAGCATCCAGGGCTGACTGAGGCTTTTCATACTCTGCAGGGCAGCGAAAACATTAGTTTAGTAGCACAACACTGAAGGGCACCAGAGAAGAGCGAACGAGAGCCACCACGCTCACCGATGAAGCCAAAGCCTCTGTGTCGCCCTGAGGTGGGGTCTCTGGCTAATGTGCAAGACTTGATCCGCCCGAAAGCTTCAAACACACTTTTGATGTCATCATCTGACAGGTCAGGGTGGACAGATGCCACGTAGATCCGGTTATAGGCGCGCGCCTCCTCTGCAAGCTGGTCAATGATGGGTTGCGCCTGACCGATGTTACTTGGCCGCCCAACCTATCGCACAGATCACACCAGCAGGGCTACTGAATGAGGGATTCATAGTAGTGACACGGGCCAACCCAGGGTTCTACACGCCTGTAGGTCCAACTTAAGCCTGAGCCACTCGCCTCTCCTCATTAGGCTGCTTTCTGGCCACTGTGTGTTCTTTCTACGTGCTTTGAGGATGGGAGGTGTGATGCGGGATGTGGAAAGGCTATCCGGGACAGACCCTACGCTATGTAGAAGGGGCGCCGAAGACTTCAAAACAAATGTGTGATGTGTGGATTCGAAGTGGGGATTTCGGAGAAACGCGTCAAGGAACCATTACACCCTAACCAAATAAAAACGCGAAAACCGAACTCACTGATATGATCAACAACAGGCACATCGGCATGAGCCAGCATTTAAAACATTAAGTTGTAGATCTTCATGAGAGTTATTGCGCACTACTAACTCTTATGAGGATCTAAAACTTCATGTTTAAAGTGCTGACAAACACCGACAACTCTCTAACGGGGAAAAAAAAAGTAAAACCTGAGCTCCACTTGGGATCTGTTTCTAAGTGAGACTGGCATCTGTACTACAGATGGGGCGGCCAAGTAACACCAACCAGACGCAGCCCATCATCAGCAAACTGAGAGTATAGAGCGACGCCATGCGCCGCTGGGCATCCCGCTGGAAACAGTCACTTAAACAAGCCTTCATGACATCATGGAAGTGTAACACCAAGCACACATACCACTCCAACAGACGTGCACTAAGCACCCACACACACACACACACAAACACGAACCTGTCAACAGAAACAGACAGACGGGGAGAGAAATTAACTGGTGGTAATAAACGTCAAAACACACGTGAATATTGGGATACAAGCTAAAAAGTAAATAAATGAGTTAATAAAATTGAGACATAACTTTAAAATTGAGCCACCCCCCATTGCATCTGGTCCTAAAAGTGTGCCGGCTAAGTCCTTCTCTAGCCTACCTTGATGTTTCGTCCTCCCAACATGACAGAGTTCATCTGCTCCAGAGCCAGCTGAGCAGCCTCTGGCACGTCATACTCCACAAAAGCAAACCCCTGCACAGCAAAATAACAGTTTACAAGAACAACTGAATGCCTGAATAACATTTTAAAGAGCTGGAAACCCTCTCAGTATATTCACCTCCCAAAAAAAAACCACACACAAAAGAAAAAAAAAAAACTTTAAACGACACTAACCTTGTGTTTCATTGTAACCGAATCCCAAGACATGTCAATGCTCTTGATCGGGCCGAAGGGAGCAAAAGCCTGCCTGATGGTGTCCTCACCCAGTTCATAGTATATGGAGCCCACATACACCCGACACATGATCGCTAGCGCGCGCTGCCGCTGGGCTGCCACCTGCCGACCAGGGAAAAAACACATAATAAGCATTAGAAAGTAAAAGAAAGGAAGGCTAACACACACGCACACAAATATAACATGTATGCATTTTCTAATGTACTTGCTGTCCCCAAAAAACTAACAAGGCCAATTCCAAGTTTGGGGGTTTGGACAGGTAAATGGGGTATTTTAATCAATGGATGTAACTCTGAAAGAAACGCTTACAACTGTATTTGTTATAAAACACTGACGTCACCAGAGGTAATTACAAGGTAATTACATGGCGTCTATTCTGTTACTATTGAACAGACATATGGAGGAAAACACACTGAAGTGATTGACATGCACAGCCCTCACAAATATTTGGCTTCAGTAACTGACCTGTAATCCAGGGATGCAAGTAAGGTAACAAAAGTAAGCGTGGAGTTCAAACGAAATCCATACAAAGTCTTGATGAAAGCATTCAAACTTTCTTCTCAAGTCTAAGGTGAGGGGTGGTTTTAAAATCATCGAAAGTTGCTCTACTGACTCCTTCAGTCAACCTGCGTATTCTATTAACACTGAAAAACCAACAAAGGTTGCGGCTTCCTGTTCTATATCGTGGAGAGAGAATGTCTTGCTCGTTCACAGAAACAAAAACAAAAAATCTTAAGTCTAAGATGGCTAAAAAGATCCCTGTCACAGAAGGTCTCTCATTTTAGTCCATGGGGGATTGCTATCCCTCTTTTGTCCCATGCCAGCAGGTGGTTTTAAACAAGCAAATGCATATTTTTCAAAGAGACTTGACTTTTCTCCATGTTTAAACCCTTCTTTATGTCCATGAAAAGCCCTTATTCGCAGCTACCAATCTAGTTATAAAATTCTAAAGCGAGTATTCTCATTGCAACTCTAGAAAGCCAAGGAGTGCTTCCTAGATTACCAACAGTTATTCATCTCAAGGACTAGAGATATGGTTGCGAGCACAATTGCCGTAGAAAGCCACGTTTTCTTATAAAATATGCATTCTCTTTGGTTAGATAAAAAAAAGGCAGGGGCTGTTGCCAACGCAACCAATAAAAGAAGGGTAACAGTCCTTTTCCGTTGGGAATGCGCACAGGAAAAAAATATTTAATGATCTATTGACCGATTGTAAAGGTGAGAGAGGATCTCCAAAGCCCATTGTCACTGCTGCCATCTGAAAGACAGTAAAGATGAAAAAAGTGCTGAAAAGTAGGTTAGATATCCCTTAGCTTTGTTTTTTTTCAAAAAAGGTAATTGCTTTGCTAGATAGATGAAAGCGGTTAGGCTAGCACTTTATCCAGACCCTCCCTCTAAACAGCATACATTGAGGATTTACCTCCCCTAACTACATTACAAATCACGAAATAGCAATTGACATAAGCATGTCCCCTTTAAAAGCAAAGCATTCAACATGATAACCAAAGCCTTCAAGATGATCTTCTCCATCTGAAAAAGAGCAGAGGCATACGGTCTACACATGTGTTCTTTTTAACAGCATGTGGGAGAAAGAGGGACCAAGACTTCCATGAGAGCTACCCCAAAACCGACTCCTGATAGTAGATGCCAGTGACTAATGCATGGACAGGCTAAGATATTCTTTCTAGAATCAAGGCACACTGATGACACGCCGCATTATTTGTTTGGTGGACTAACTAAAATTTTACACATCTCACCTGCAGGTTGGTGAGTTGCTGCTGCTGATGGGCTATGGTCTGCTTCACCAACACACTCTTAATGCTTTGCTCCATGGCATACTTCTTCGCCTATGGATATAAAAAACAAACAAACTCAGGTGCAAAATTCAGCCTCGAAAAACACACATGCTAAATCATTGAATCTCACATTACATGATAATGTCTTGATATTCTATACAGACATACAACAGTTTTACGTAATAAAATAGAAAAATTAACAAGTTCAAATTGTATTGCTTTCATATTTTTTTTCTCATGGGTTAAAATATCAACCAGCCGTTTAAATTACAGAAACTTATATACAGAACATACTGTAAAAATGATACAAAGTAATTTATATAATGTAATGACTGGCTCATTACTTAAGGCTATTTCTTAAAAAAATTCACACCTTGAATTTAAGCATACAAATTAACACTGGCAATTAGTTTCACTATATATGCACTTAACCACATGCTAAATAAGAGTCGTACCCTCTGTAGTGCCTCCTGCTGCTCTGGGGTGAGAGGCGGTAGGCCAAGCTTGGAGCCTGTGCCTTGTCCATTCTCCATCGTCAGAGCTTCACCTCCCTGTAATGCAGAAACACCCATTTCAACTAAAACCGAAAGCTAATTAAAGTCACTATATATCCGCCAAAGTTTATCTATATTTACATTCTGCCGGAAGGAAAATTCCTCTTACATTCAGATATCACACCACAGGTTACTATCAATAATGCTAATTACAGGTCATTCAACCGGATTTAAACCAGGTGGGACCAGACGAACTCCTTACCTACACAACTCTCTAATCGTTGGGTCCACCAGACTGAGGCAGGATAGCCCCGAAGGGGAAGAGCACTGATGGGGAAGCTTTAACAATTCAACAAATTCTAGGGAAAATAAAAAATTCCTTCAGACTAACAATGAATTAAACAGGCAGCTAGCATCACTCAACAGTCAAATTTAAAAACAGCCAGTCTGTCTTTCTCAGATGTTTGATTCATCTTGTCGAGATGCGCACAAATCCAAGCCCCCCAACCCCCACCCAATACACGTTAGCAAATGTACCCGACCGCAACGGGCTTAAGCTAACCCTTAGCAATGAAAAGGCTAAACTAAGACATCACGACAAAACTGACTAAACCCCAGCTTCGATGCATGCTTATCTCAAATAGTTAAGATAGCGAAATGTTATTTCGTAGTTATCGTCACTAGCATCATAAAGTCCTTGCTGAAATTCACTTTACAATAATGTTGCCTTTGTTGCTAGCAAGGAGCTAGCAGATATTAGCTCTTGTTAGGCATTGATTACGATGGCGCGTGAAGCAAGCAGTGCTCTGCTCGAGCAAATTAAACAATATCAGATGCAGTTAATGTTTTCCCAGACAATTATTTTTTACTTACGCGGTGACTAGTAGTGCTAACAAAAATCTAATGTGTAGATTTATCGAGGAATTTATTTACCGCAGTCTCCGTAACCGCCATGAAGCACACCTTCAAAAAGGCCCACTCACGACAACGTTCGCGAGACTTCCTTGGTTTCAATGAAATATCTCGCGATACCATACATCCTCGCGATGAATAGGGCTTTTGTCAGACATACAGATGGTACCATTGTAACAAAAAAATCTGTAACCTTACGCTTTAACAGGGTTATCTCTTGCATAAAATGTCAAGTTTTATTTAGTCTTCGTTGTCTTTTAAAAAAAGATATTTAATCTATTTTGTGACAATTACATATTGTCAGTCTAAACGACAGGAAGTTGCTGTCCGTAATCTTTCTGTAAAACACGAAAAACAACCAGACATTTTGATAAAAAATCTAAATACTTTTGACATTTGACGGAATGGTACACCCATGGAAAATAAAATCTATCATCCAACTATAATGGTTTGAGTCAAATTTGCTGTAAATAGTCAGTGATTTGTTTTTTGTTAAAGAATAGTTTATTTGCATGTCTGTTTGTGATTTCGGGGCAGAGATTTATTGGAAATGTCACCAGAGGTGTGGCATAGCCCAGCTTTGAAGTGTTTTTCTCTTCATCTCATTATCTAAATGTTTTCTATAAGGATTTAGTTATTTTTCTGTCATGGCTATTGAAAAAATACTTGTGTGAAAGTGGTTTTTCATAGTAAAAAATGTCAAAGGGTTTGTCTTTTTTGTTTTTTGGAGTCCCTGAAAGAAGATGCATAAATGAATCACAATAATCTATTTTGTTTATAATTTATGGTTTTAAACAGAAAAATAATCTTTTTTTTTACTGTGCACTAATCAGTTTCAGAGTAAGGACCACAAAACTACCCCCAATAAACTTATTCCTATCAATAAATCAGGTCAGGCAATATCAGACATAACCAACATGTCACATCTTGTTTATTGTATTTTAATTTCAGATGCTACAATATTTAACAAAGGTTTAAGTAGAACACACCCAAAGGCAAGTTTCATTCAACAGAGTGAAGAGGGAAAAGAAATCATCTGACACAAAATAAGACTGATATGCATGTCATCTTTAAATGCTTGCACAGAATAAACATTCATCTTCTTGGTCAGGTCCCTTTTGGAACCAAACTGCAACTCACGAAGGCAAAAATGCAATGTTTTGAATGGTCGCGGGTTATTAAGACATGCAGCATACCAGATCAAATGAGAGCAACATTAGCAAGACGTTGTTTCAAGATTCCATCCAAAGCAAACCATCCAATTGCCAAAAACAAATATATACACCACAATCCAACTGTTTAGAGGAGCTCATGGCTCCTACCTTCAGAGACACACTGTTTGACACAGAATATTGTAAGTACTGTAAGCAATGACTGTACAGCAGCATAATTGTTATGACACTGCAGCCTCATGGACCCAGAATACAAATGGAGCAGAGAAATGAGCCTAACAAAAAAAAAGTTTGCTGAAGAATGTTCTGACAAAAACCTGTTGTTTATTTATCCACCAATTAGTTTTTGTGAAGGCAACATCTACCCAAATTTGGCCTTTTACATCTTTAAATGTGGCAGACCTGTACTGCATATCCTATTTTTGTGTTTGTGTGGGCTGCAGTACAATCACTTTTCAAAGTTCACATTGCTATTGTCTAAAACGAAAGCTCAGTAGAAGAGATTATGCCATTCTGATGCATTCAAAGCAAGTTACCCAAGTCTGCTATCAGGGATTGTGCTTAGCATCTCAAATATATATCAATCTTAACGGAAAAAAAGCTACATTCTAATGAATAAGACCACTGATTAGAAAGTACAGATATAAGAGAAAATTTAAATTTTACATTTTTGAGAGAACCGAGTAGATTTTGCCATTCAAAGATCTCTACATACATTTACAAATAGATTTCACAAAAAAAGTAAAGCAGTAGTATATTCTAACAATATGGAGATTTTCCTATCTCTAAATGTTAATATTATAGAGCCCAACATTTCAACACATTTATGAAGGGTTATGTTTTTAAATCAAAAGCTGATTCATTTAGATCTTTTGTATACGCACTTCAGCTCTTCCCAAATCAAAAATGAATGCAGCAGAGGGATTCATGATCTAATCCAAATGTCCAACAAACAGTTGCCATGGCTCTTAACAGAGCTGCCATCATCAGGAGTCTAGTTCATCTTCACATTCACACAGACTGTATTTATGGACTCAAAATCAAGAGAACAGAGCAAGTCTTAAAAAAATCTAAGCATGTTTCACACTGAAGTAAACCTGAACTGATTACTTTCCAATTCGCAAAGTTGGGTATGATGCCACGCCATGAGGAGACTTTGATCGAAAGTACACTGCCATTATCAGGCACTTTGCAAATCTTTGGCTTTCAGAACACTTTCACAGGGAAAACCCTTAAGAGCACTACAGGCTAAAAGAGAGGCGTCATCTCAATGCTCAGTGCTGCGTTCGGTTGTGGCGTGTTTAAGATGTGTGAGAAGAAGCCTTTAACCCAGGAGTGCAGTTAGGGGTGTTTGTCTGCATGTCGAAAACATATATGGAAAAAACGGGAGACTTGTGCAATACAATCAATCACAGTTACAAAGAGAAATAAATAAATTATCTGAATGAGTATTAACAGAACATGTCGGACGGCACACTGAAATCCCAAAAGATGAGATTAAGTGAAGGCTTGTAAAGAGTAGAGGTTTTAACCAATCATTGTTTACTATTTAATGCAAACACAAAAAAAGCCAGTATTGGAGTGCAAGTGAAATAAAACATCCTTTTGAAATGATAGCTGCTGGAACGGTAAGTAAAACTGATCTGTTCTTAATAGTGGCAGTATGGAAAAACCTAAGCTGTCAAGATATATTAAGGCGTGATAGCCCTTCCAGGCAGCGACTGTGTCGATCTTCGGCTGCTCCGTGGGGGAGCCGGACCCGGTCGTGTTGTGGACCTCCAACCACAAGAGGCTTCGGTTTCTCTCTGACTGCTGCTGTTGCTCCTCCATCACACCGGGGATAATTCACTGACCGTCGAGGCTCAGCGTCTGGCTGTATTGACCCAATTTGTCTCCCGGCTGAGTCCTCCGCTCCTGGGCTTTGCAGCCGTGTCTCCCTGCCCGCCGCCCTCTGCCTCTCTCCGCCTGGCTGGTCATCGCCCCAGGCCTCTCTGCTCAGGCCGGCCGCTGTCATGATGACCCCTCCTCACTGTGCGCTCCCAGAAGCCAGCGTTCGCACCCGGTGTCGGCTGATGGCATCCTCCAGGAAACCTGCCACCTTTTCACTGTCCTCCTGCAGAGAAAAAAAACATAGGAAAAATGGAAAAAGCGGCATTATTTAGATTCTGTTTTTTTTTTTTTTTTTAATGAGGTAAAGTTGATCTGTTAATAAGGCAGAAAAAATTATCTACGTACCTCATTAATGAAGGCGTAGTGAACAAGTTCACCGGCAAGGTCTTTGGGGGTGTCTGCTGAAAGTTTAAAAAATATTCCAGTTAGAGAAAACTCTCTAAAAAACCTGAGGGTATTCTGTATTTAATAGTGTATACTCTAAACTTCAATCCATTTGCGAAACCACTTATTCTTAGGCGAGTGGCGGGATTCAGGAGATTCTAAATCTCCTGGTTTAAAACTTATTTATGAAATATATTTAGCTGTTTTTTTCTAAAGGAAAAATGCTTTCAACTTACTAGGAAGGATGTCACAGCTGAGCTGCCGATGAAGTTTGTCGTCCATTTTCAGGAACAAAGAGAGCTGGGGAGCGGGACGATAAGAATCAAGATTTAAATCCCACCCAAAACAGGAAAGCTAACTATCACAGAAGCTGTAACACTGTATACTACAGCCTTTGTGACTCACATGAGTTTTGGTCCCTTCTTCATTAGACTCCAAATTACAGTGCATCTGAACAACCTGCAAAGCACACCAACCTTGTCAAAAACATGCACATAAGAGCAGAGAAAGGTTTTGAATATGTCTTTGGAGTGAGAATAGTTATTAGATATCACATGCAGGTCCTGCTAACTGACAGGGACGACACTGGTTTCTCTAATCTCTGACCTTTCTTGTCTCCGTCTCCTGGGGCTCAGGAGTGGGCGTCTTCACAGTCTCAACCTGCTCCTGAGACAAGGACAGAGCTCGAGGGACGGGGTGAGGACGGGACGAGGCAAAGTTCATCAGCGGGTAAATCCCATTCCTGAGGAGACAGAGACGTCACGCGGGAGTCGCCCCCCCGACCCCCCGACCCAAAGCAAATCTCTAGCTCCACTTACTTGACATCCTCCAGGAACTTGTCAAGTTCCAAAGGGGAAACGTGGGAATACCTACAGGACAGAAAGAGGCAACCAGAAGAGAAATTAGAGTTTTGCTCTACCTGCCATGTTATATTAACAGATAAGCTAAAAATAAAATGGGAGAATTTACTTGAGCTGAACCCCCTGCCTGCCTTCATGTTTAATCTCTGCCATGACAGCGTTGGGATCGAATGACTTGGTTTTCTCTTCCACACAGTTTTCAGGAAGCAAGTCTGCAGACGCAACACAAAGTCAGCACTAATGAACAGCACAGAAAGCAAGAATTGGAAAAAAAATGTTTTAATAGGGACATTTAGAACCACTGTGAAAACTAATAATGAAAATATACTGATAACTCAGTAAGGGTGTGGGAGAATTCTGCAAACAGTTCCACATGCTGTAGTTTAAGGAAGTTTTTGTTTTGTTTATTTGCTTTATTGTGACAAAGAATAAGAGGAGAAACTTTCAGAGGAGAGAACAGGGCATTTTTGCGTGGATGTCTTGGCAGCTGGGAGGTGAGAAACTCACATTGGTTGTTGATGAGGCAGTGGGCGGCGAGCAGTTTCAGGGAGTGGACCTCGAACAGGACGCGGTGGAACAGCAGGTCGTGAGCTGTGGGACGGATCTTGGCATCGTGGCGCAAACAAGACTGCGTGAACTCCTACGGAGAGCATCGGGACACTCGGTTCAAAGGCACGGCGCCTACAACCCGGCTCACAGCACGCACGCGTGCCCTGGATTCCAGCCTTTGTACGTTTGAACCGACACTTATGTGCTAAAATCAGAAAAGCTCCCAGTGTGTGCTCTGAAATAACCCTCCAAACAGCACAGGGTGTGTGTGTGTGGGCGCCTGCTCATAGATTACAGGACAGTTTGCTTTCTCGGTGCGTTGTGCATTTAGGACGTGAAGTGAGACTCACTCTCATTAGAGGGTCCTCGAGAGATTGACCTGCATTGACTATGGCCTCCTTGGACACAGCAGTGTCTCCATTGGCCTGAATCTCCAGAACTGCCATCTATAGGTACAAAATATCTGTTAACACACATAACCAAGTAAAGACAGAGGGAAATCTTTTAGGTTTGTTTGTCTCACCTCCAGAGCACAGATGCCAAAGGAGAAAATGTCTATGGCACAATCATCCTCACCAGCTGGAGATAAAATAGGAGGACATAAAGAGAGATTTTCCTTGAAAACAGTACAGTATCTTCTTTAAATCTTTAATAACCAATATGGAGCCTGAGCCATCTCTACGGCATAGTTTTGGTGTGCATACATTATGCCATCATCATTCAAATTCTGATAACTGTCATTGAATCAGAACAGTTCTTAATCAAACTTTTGACTTCAATTTCTGAGTCACTGGTTTTCGAAAAAAAGATGGAGTTGACAGAGATGGAAAATAAAGATATAGAAAAGGTCCTTCTTTGAACCCACCTCCATATTCCGGAGCGAAGAAATGAAGATTTCTCTGCTCATCGCGGTGCTGCCGGCTTTTACCGTGGACACTGGCCTCTGGGAACACTGGTCAGAGAGGACGGACACACGAGTTGAAATGAACAACGGGACAGAAACGAGAAGAGTGTGTCTTCCACGTTGTGCGGCTAGTCTTACCGTTCACGAAGAGCCGATGCCACACTGTAAGGGACAAAAACAAAAACAGGACAAAGACGTTTAAGGTGGTTTCATTAAACCGTTATGTGAGGTAAAAGAGTCAACAAAGTTAGGTGTAGTAACAAAAAAAGCCCTGCTGGGAGCAGACCTGAGCCTATCTTGATGAGACCGTTGTGCTGGATGAATATGGTATCGCACGTCAGGTTGCCATGGACTATCGGTGGGACACAGGAGTGCAAATAGCTGCCAGCAAACAGCAAAATGCCTCGTTAATATCGTAGGCTGAAATCACGAGAGCCTACGAAGGACAATCAATTAGTACCTGAGCGCAGAGAGAATCTGGGTACACCATCTTTTCCAGGCCTAAAAAGAAATGAGAGGACAGATCTCTAAGAGGACAGGGTTGCTTTAGAAAAGGGAAAGAATGCGCTCTACCATAGATTATTAAATAGACGTGTTGTCCAGACACTACAGCTCCAAAAAGCACACAGCCAGACAGAAAGAAATAAAGAGACCCTGGAGATACCGCTAATCCGCAACATCACAAGGATAAGAGATATGTCTGCGAACACTGAGCCACCAGGGTGTTACATAACCTCTAATCTTATTGGAGTTATGGATATGAATAGTGGTAGGGCTGCAGCACAGTGTTCAGCACAGTATGTGGACAGAGTTCAAACACTGACTTTAACATTCATGGTCTTGTGGTTCTTTTTCGTCTTCTTCAGGAATTGCTTGAGGCTGCCGGACGACATGTATTCAGTGATGAATATAACCTGTGAGCCACAAACAATAGTGAAGCCGTCAGATCAAATGTGCAAGCAGGAAAAATGAAAAATACAAAAATTTGGAGCCGAGAGGAAACAAGATGGTAGAGCTCACCCTGGCCTGGCTCTCCTTCATGTCTAGCCAGTACTTGTGGAACTTGACAATGTTGGGGTGTTCGACCTGCATCAAGTTCTCAAACATCTCTTTGATCTTCTCCTGCACAACATACAGACGGTGTACAGTCTCACATGACCTCATGGACCAAATGTGGGTCTTTGATTCAAATGCATCTCTTAAAACTAACTATTTCTCATAATGATTAGCAGGGATATCAACACTGGCGGCTTCAGTACCCGTGCAAATGACATGCACGCATATGAATGATAACCCAAGGAGCTTGAGGATGCTGCTCGGATTATTATCGATCAAAAGGTGTAACACAAACACAAAGGTGCTGCTTCAGAACTAGTTGGTGAAGCTTTTTCAAGATTTAGCAGAACAGGAGTGCAGCATCCATGATAACAGGAGCCATTTCTGGAGATTAGGAATCAAGAAGCAACACAACATCTGGGGGAGCCTCTGCTTCAATCAAAAGAATGCATATCTGGTAAACCTTAATAAATAAAAAACAGTCAACTGAAAAGCTTCCAGTTCTCATGTGAAATAACAGTAAAACTAAACTTAATGTTTATGTAATCAACATGGACAATAACTGCAAATCAAGCTGTTGTTTGCGAGTGAACTTGACTTTTCGGAGCATGTGAAGCTAAAGGCCGAAAAATGTCACGATACCTCCTGTGCTTTGAAAACCTTCTTGTCGGAGAAGAGCACTTCGTTCCACACCACCTCCACTCCCTCCTCTGTGTCCATGGCCAAGGAGGCGCTCTCCACACCGGGGACATTCCCCTGGCTGACCTGCAGGGGGCAGATGGAAACAGATGTAGCATTTAGCTTCATGCTAGCTAGCGTGCTCCCCTATTTGACCTGGTGACAGCACAAATTCACTGAAGGGTTTGTGCAGCTGCTGAAGTGCAAGCTGAGTCAGGAAAGCTAAATAAAATCAATTTTTCCACCTTGCACTCATGAGATTACAAACAATGTTACATAAAAATGGTCTTGAAATGGCAATTACAGTTATCAAATTAAAATCTTGCACAATTGTTTGATTTTTAGATACGCCAGCTATCGTAGTGAAGTCAGAGTTGTCTCTAGTTCTATAAAATAAAAACACATTTTTTCAAATATATTTTTTAAAGTTTTGCTTCAGCTACCCCAAGAAGATTTATGACTTCTTTAGAGCCACCGTACAACAAGTTAGTCTAACTATCTTTTCCAGAAATTGACAATTTTCATATCTGTTTTACTCTGAAAGCCTACAATAAAACAAAAGGGTGCGAAGTTCATAACTGCTGAGTGATTTTACATTGCAGCTGCAAAACAAAATAAAGGAAGGTGAAAATTCCCAATCTGGAGTTACAAAGCGTCAGTTGAAATGATCAAATCGTGTGTCATGGTATGATTAAGATGCCCAGAGGAAATACCACATACTCCCCTGACTGAGCACGTCCACTACAAACATAGTTGCCCTTAAGTGTTGGTGGACTAGGCCTAAAGGTTCTGTCAAAAGCTGTGTGTTCAACACTGGCCGAGAAAAAAAACCTGAGATTGTTGGCATTCAATCCCGATGTGACTCTAATATCCGCTAAAAGCCCTGTGCAATACTTCACTGGATTATGACTCTGGCAGTACAAATGATAAAAAGTTTGGGGCGGAACGAATAAACAAAACAGTCCAGTTCTGTCTTCTGTGTAGTATCGAATTCGGTGTTCCTCCATCTACTCGTGTCCCAAAAGGCGTCATAGCACTCTGATGGAAGATATCAAATGCCAGCTATGACATGATGAATAGGGCCAGGGGATGAGCAGCGGCTTTTGTAAAGAGGGAAGAGACGGATTAGCGGGACCATCACAGGGGTGGAAGTGAGTGGATGGGGGATTTGGAGCGATGAGACACATGCTGTAAGATGGAGGAGCAACGAGAAGTGCACAAGGAACAAACCAAGCGGAGAGGAGGGAGAAGAGAGGCTGGGACAAGAAGCAGACAGCCCGGAGGCCCAGCGGCAGAGAGCTAAAAGACTCACAATACGACAGGATATTACTGTCTCGGCCCGCTCGGCCCGGCCTAACCTCCCGCCTCAATACTGGCAGCTGGGATCAACGTCCACAGCAATAACCATAATGCCAGCCCCACAAATCAAACAAATCCCTGTCACACTGATGGGAATTTCCCCATGCTTCCGATTAAAAACGCCACCATTTTTTTATCCCCCCACAGAGGCTCTTTTCCGTGTTCCAAAAGTGCCTCGACATTTGTATCGTCCGTTTTGTGGACACAAATCTGAGTGCTGGTGGCGACTGAAAAATAATCTGCTGGAAATAAAACTGCCACCAATTGTGAGCGTTCGTGTGGCTCCAACAAACACTAAAACTAAACTGACAAGGAATTCTCCACGAGGCCGTTTCGGGTTATTCCCAACCTTACGAGAGATTTCCTCAAAGAGAATATGAAACAGCGACATTAGTTCTCAGCTTCCCCTGGATAAACGCACACTGTACACACTGTATCTGCAGGCTCTGGTCCCTTTGAATTTTAATTTAATCAAGTGATCCTCAGAAGAAGCTTTTGTATTTACAGACTCTAATCCCTGATTCCAAAATGACAGTCCCCAATCATTTCAAGGAAAGACGTTCTCTTTTTCACTGTTTTTTTTTTGCATTCGTACTCTCTCCCTCTTGACGTTTAAATCCTGTGTGTGATTTCTGTGTGCAAACAGTCCTGAAATCTCATTCGCTTTAATAGGGAGCGGCTGCTTGTTTACCCACGCTAAGCCTTTTATTTATTCAAGTCACAAACAAGACATAGATTGTTTCAAGGGCTTTCTGAATAACTAATGGAAGGAAAACCGAAAAAGACACACTATGACTGAGTATTCCCTAAATTTCCTCATGTTTCAATAAAACTTCTGGCTAACTTTATATGTTACTGACATTTGATTATGTCAGATTTGAAATAAAAAAAAACAAACAAATGGAATAAATCCAGTGGACCACATCTGGTGGGCCTAGTGCAGATGTGATTTTAATATCTTGGTTGAATGTTTATGGTCTTTATCGAGCTACAACATGAATTTTGGGACTGATAACTGGGGACCACTTCGAACAGTAGTTTGAATACTTTACTGTATGTGCAAAACAATTATCTCTTTGTCTAAAAATAGCTGCAACAGCTGGAGACCTGGTACTTTGGATTCAGGTGTAAATCAAGTTGATAAAGAAAAATTAAGTAAAAGAGACAGATCTGCCTCAGCACATGACGGATGGCTCCTACAAAACTTCCTGATGTGAAATTCTCACATTTAATCTAACCTTAGACAGATTCTTTAACTTCACCCTCACAAAACAGACATATAAAGTGTTCAGAATAGGCTTTTGAATAGTTAAAAACAACTACGCACAGTAACCCTAACCCTAACCCTCCTCTTCATCACAGATGTAATTCTAAAATGCCAACTGGGCATTTCTGAGCAGATGTAAGATGAGGCTAAGCTTGATGACGGGTTAGCAACTTAACACCCAGTCCCGAACCTCCTTCCTCCACCTAAGTGGCAGTTATTACTGCTAAATGCTAACCGCTGGTATAATCCCCTGAGCTTCCCTTGTTGCTATGCTCCACAGCTTCACCATCTTTGGCTGGAGTCAAAACGGCTTTTTTGTCTCAAGCTGGAAAAGAAGCTATCAGATTAAAAACAGCAATTAGCACAAATCCGGTTTGAAACATTCACATTTTCACATTCCTGGTTCAGACTCCAAAGCGCTCCAGAGCCAATTCTGGAACAACTTTAAAATTGCTGCTCAAAAGTCCGTGCAGCTGCAGGACCCTGCGGGGTTTTTTCTTCAGGCGTAGTGGACAGCAGGGCAGATTTGACTTCTAATCCTCATACTCCCACTCAGTGAGAGATGGTAATCTGATTAGTGGCATCACAGTGCCGGAACACAATACCCCGGCTTGTTGACAGTGGAGGGAATTCCTTCGCTTAAGTCGCCGTCCATAAGGAATCATGTTTCTGGCGTCACATTTAGCTGCGGTTTGTTTTCTCTAGATATTGTGAAATATCTCTTCCCATGACTCAGCATCTGCGTCCCAGTGGGTTTAGCTGTTCGTGGAAGCACGAGGCTCATAAACAACACCCTGTGTGCTGGGTTGTGATTGGTTCTTGGGTGGGAGGTGGGTTGAGGGTGTGGATGAGTGTGCTCAGGTTAACACGACACCAGCATCTTTTCTGGTGTTTGTTCAATCTACAGCTGAGACGGGTAAAACTATACATTGAAAATCTGCTCCACAAACCCCCTCTTTACATTTCCACACGGTTTGTTCTTGCACGCTCTATACTGGCTTCATGGTGTTTTCGAAAAGCTAAGTTCACCACCAAGTGGATAAACAGTCCTTTAAGTTTCTGAAGTTAGAAAAATCTGGAATAAGCATGACAATAAATACAATCAATCAAACAAATACAATCTCACGGCCCAACTCCAGGGACCTTTTCATGTTTATATTAGATCTATATTAATCAACAGATTACCCATAATCCACAGAAAAACCCGGTGGGATTAGTTTTGACTAAGCTTTTGAGGAGTTGTGTTTTTATTAAATGTACAATAGAATCTTTTTTTTTCAAAGAGGGTGCACATAATGAATCTTTTCATTTAGGTTCTATTTTGAGCTCCACAAAAGAAAGGCAACAGGCCACGTTCTCCAAAATTCAATCAGTAATAATGAAAACTCCAGCATGTGGCCACCTTAAGTGTGCCTAAGTGATCCTGTGTTTTCTGATGAGTGGCACCTTCACGCACTAGGAGGCCTGACTGTAAGGACGAGCTGTGCAGCTGACGAAGGCCGCCTCCCGTTGTGGGAGCGTCCGGTAAGGCCCGGCTTTGCAAAAGCAAAGCTGGCGGACAATGGCTAAAACAAGCCAAAACCAAGCCTTTCTTTGCAGAGACAGCACTATGTCCCTGTTTGCTTTAACCAGAGAAGACAACACTGTGTGCGACAAATGACCCCTGTGGCCCCGAACAGAATGGGGGGGGGGGGGGTGTTAGTGTTAGTCAACCTCTGACAAAACGAGTGCAATGAGTTGTGCTGGCCCAGATGGGTAAACAGTACATCAAAGCAGAGCCAGGGAGGACTTATGTCCTGCTACGCTAACTTTATGCTCAGTAGATCCAAAAGATACCGATGAGTCAGCCGGTGGGAGAATGGACAGAGGAGAAGGCTGCAGATCTTTTGGTGCGTTTCTCCCCACAGAGGCGCCGTGAATGAAAGAATATCTTTGTCTGACACTGTGTGGGTTAGACCCTCATAGTGACAAGGCTTTGTCTCTAGCACATTAATAGTCTCGCTTCCACCGCGTTCCCTCCCACACCTCATACCAAAACGATGAGCCGATACCCAGCAAAGTATTCATATTTAATAACTCCATCTGGAGGAGCAAAGGCAGCAAGCGGCTAATAAAGATACACAGATACACGCGGGGCTGATACACTGTATGCAAATCAGCCGGGGTTGTCTTTCTGTGTTGCTTTCTGCCTTTCGCTCGCAGTGATTTTCCTGGCTTCAAAGAGGAGAGGGATCAAAGAGTCGGACAGAAATGTTGTGGAAAACGCTAGAGGCAGAGGCTCAGCGATGCGGATGTGAGAAAGCTGGAAAAGAAACCGCCTTTTCAGTTTAAGGCCGGCGTTAGCTACTGGAAATGGACAGAAATAACAGCTAACATACTGTTAGTTAGAAAAATAGGTAATATTTGTAGGAAAAAATACGTTTCTAACAGCAGAATTACTTTTGTAATCTGATTCTAATGAACATTTCATAAGAATTGCATTGTTTTGCGATACAAAAACATAAAAGAAACACAGCATTGTGTAGGCCTATCCTCTAAAAACAGTTATTTTCTGAGCTGTAAATGTCACAATGTCTTTGCAACATATTAAGAAAAGTGAGTTTAACTGAACCGAATTGAGCTGGATTGAACACATAGTTGAAAATTGAAATGTCATTTCAATTATCATTTTAGATGAGTCTTTTAAAAGCTATTCAAGTCTTAACACACTGACAAAACTTTGGGATGAAGTCGGCCATTTGTAATGGTCAAAGTCTTTGGTGATAGCGAGGATCTATAGTCAGACTGGCCTCTAAACTCAGTCAACCAATTCTCCATGAGTAACAGCTCTGCTCTGCATCTACTGGGGGGGTCACAGTTGTGAGGGGGTCGATATGGCGGATCATCCTGGACCCGACTGGACATCCTGAATACAAACTGAATTAAAATCCCACACCCGAGAATATAGTACTGCCAAACGGCAAAACAAGCCCGAGTTCATGAGGATCTCTAGAGGTACAGAAACACCGTCATGACGGGCCTGTCCTCCTCTCAGCGGGCTTTGAGCCACTGACCGACTGCTGACCCCTCCCTAACCGGCGCCGCTCGTTTCCACTCATCTGCCTCTGGAACCTCGGGACGTCAGCTGTGAACATAAAAAGGGGGTCAGCGTCTCAGCTGGGGGGTGCGTTTCTTCTCAGCGTGAAGCAGAACGAGACGGCACCGGCTGGGACCACTCCAGCGGGCGACGGGAAACTGGCCGATCGGTCACCGAGTGGAAACTCCTGATTTTTTTAATTAGTCGACCGAAAATTGTTCATCCGAACAATATACTTTAATATCCTTCATATCCTTCATCATAACAAGTTCCCTGCCTCCACAATGTGAGCGTGGAACGGGTTTGACCCCGTCCTCAAAGTCAGACGGGCCCAGAACGGCCCCCGTCATGTCCTCACTTATTCATTTTCTCATGAAGCTCGACAGCTTTTTAATGAAAAAGGTTTAGATAACACAGCCGCCCTTGGTTCGTCCTGCACTGGCAGCTCTTTAAAACAGATAAAAAAATGCACGATCCCTTCAAACGCTGGAGGTTTTGCACAGGAAGTCCTCTGCCCCGCGTGGCAGTCTGTACCAGGGATTCCAGATTACAGCAGCCACAATGTCCCCCTCGTTCCCTTTGTCTCTGTGACAAAGTACATATTTATAAGGCCGGAGGGAGAGGGACGGCCAAGCGCTGTAAGGAGCTGCCCGCACTCGGACGTGAGAGGCATAAATGAACTGCTTTTAACCTTCAACGTGAACTTCTCAGGAATTTGGAACTGACCAAACTGCTACATAACGTTCACGTGTAAATGAAATTACAGCATAACTGATGTGATGCTCAAAGGTCCATCTGTACCTGAGGCTCTCTTTGGAACGTCTAATTATTTCATCTTGCTGAAATAGTGTGCTGCCTCAGGAGCACATTGACATGTGGAAACTGGGGACCTGAGAGAGGATGTTTCAGGGATTTAGGACTGGTGAAAAACAAAGAGAAAAGCAGGAGGAGTCCTGAGGGACAAAAAGCATCTGAAGACAGAGAATGCAGTGTTATGGTATTTATCTGCATTCACTGGTAAAAAACTTTGAATTTCACTTCAACCAGCTGTGCTTCAGTCAAGCCTTTGTAACTCCAAACTGGCCTTTTTTTATTTAAAAAAAATTCTCCAAACTGGTCCTGTTTCCCATCAAACACACACACACACACGCTCATATCTAACCAATGAAACACTCCTGTGCTGAAGTGGAGGTAAAAAAAGAAAATAGAGGAGAGCTGTGACAAAGAGGAAGGTGACAGAGGGCCTGTTTGCAAAACAAAAATCCAACAGCATTCACCGGTGAGATATGCATCCCCCTCTTAATAAAGCATACAGAATATGGCAGTGGGTGCAATCTGATAAACACTGTAACCACTATCTTGGCTCCCAGACCTAAGTCCTGTGTGCTGACAGCTTAGAAAAAACAGGAAAGGCCTGCATGGGAGAAATAACAGCCTGGCTTATCACACCTGTCTGTGTTTGCCTGTCCTTTTCTGTACGAGGTTATAACTGCAGACTAGAGTACGTTAAAGCGCTGTTATCATCCTGCAGCCATACGTTATTTCACTAATCCATTAAACGCTTTTGTGGAGACACAAAGACACATCAGCGCAATTCCATTGTTTCATTTTATGTATTTAGTTCCCTCTTATGGACCTGATGTCTAATCACTGACCCCGATTCTTCATAGGACCAGAAGTCGCTTGCAAAACAGGGAAATTTTACCATTAATTATTATTATTAATGAATGAAAGTTCAGTTTAAATTCACATTGAGCAAGAGGAAGTAAGAACATGCTATTAATGAGGTCATAAATCGTGAGTATTAGGGAGATTTGTTCAGATAATCTTTATAATTGGCATAAAAGTATTTCTCAAGGGGACAGATTTAAGTGCACATTCAGATCTGACTGTTGAAAGCTGATTTAAAAGGGGTCTGGAGCCCTGGACCAGAGAGGACGACCCCCCTGGTTTGCTTTGCAGATGCAGACCAGATGCTTGACTCAGTTCATCTTTAGTTTTCATAATGCACTTTTGTGTAGCTGTGGGGGCTTGTGTAAGGGCAGCTGTGCGTCACACGCGTCTATCAGGCCGCGTGAGACATCCTTGCTTCAGGTTGCCAAAAGTCTTGGTATTTCTATTTCAGGAACGGAGACGCTGAAAAGAAGTCAATCCATGTAAAAAAACAAAAACGCATGTCCTTTTCTCTAAGTTACTAATCAATGAGTATTTCT